AGCCACAGGCTGTGACCCCTCTAAAACCTTGGAGGAAGGGTCTTGGGCTGTGGTTTTGGGTAGTTGGGGGTTTGCCACCAGCCTGGTAAAGCCAAGCGCCCTATGATGTCCCTGCAGCAAGGCCCACTCGTTCTGCCTCCCTTCTCGCCAGGTGTCATCGCTGGGAGTCACCACCTTCAGCCTCTGCGCCCTGGGCATCGACAGGTTCCACGCGGCCACCAGCCCCCAGGCCAGTGCCCGGCCCATTGAGCAGTGCCAGTCCATCATCGCCAAGCTGGCTGTCATCTGGGTGGGCTCCATGACGCTGTCGGTGCCGGAGATCCTGCTCTGGCAGCTGGCGCAGGACACATCGCCCGTGTCCGGCGTGGTGACAGAGTATTGCACCATGAAGCCCTCGTCCAACCTGCCCGAGTCCGTCTACTCGCTGGTGCTCACCTACCAAAACGCTCGGATGTGGTGGTACTTTGGCTGCTACTTCTGCTTGCCCATCCTCTTCACCGTGAGCTGCCAGCTGGTGACCCGGAGGATCAGCAGCACCGAGAAGAAGACTGAGTGCCGAGGGACCAAGCACAGCCAGTGCGAGAGTCACTTGAACTGCACCATCATCGGACTGACCATCATCTATGGGCTCTGCACCACCCCTGAGAACGTTTGCAACATCGTGGTAGCCTACATGTCCCCCGACATGTCCAAGCAGACCTTGGACCTGCTCAACCTCATCAACCAGTTCTTCCTATTCTTCAAGTGCTCGGTGACGCCCATCCTGCTCCTGTGCCTCTGCAGACCCCTGGGCCAGGCCTTCATGGACTGCTGCTGCTGCTGCTGCGAGGGCTGCAGCCCTGACACCTCCAGCGAGGGCAGCGCCGACAGCAAGCTCAAAACGGAGATGTCCTCCTCCATCTTCTTCGACAAGCCCCGGGAATCCCCTCCACCTCTCCTGGCCCTCGGCACGCCTTGCTAAGTGCCACCAGGGAGCTGTAGAGATCAATCCACCACCTCCTCCCAAGACCAAACGTTTTGCCATTAGTGCCCGTGTCTGGACGTGGAACAAGCAGAAGAGACAGCTCAGGGGGCTGCACCGTGGGGTTCAAACCCCACGTTGGGCAAGTGGGGCTTGAAACCCCAGCCCCCGTGGCTACATTGGCGGCCTTCTTGCCTCTGCCCAAAGACCAGCAAGGACATCAGCGCCCTCCCGTCCTGGCTGCCTGGCCAGGCTCAGAGGGGTTGCTGCTCTGGTGATGGAGTTGTGCCAGAAAGGTCCCATCTGAAACTATGGAGGGTTTCCATGGTGGCTTGCAGAGGACACAGCAAACAAACTGCCCTCGTCCTGTCCCATCCCCTCCTGCCAGCCCCCTCCACAGTAGGAGAAGGTCCCAGTGACTATATCCCACCAGATCCAAGCAGTGCCCTGTAAGAGCTCAATAAACCAGTAACCTAGAGCACATCGCACATGCAGCCGTCCGGCACCGCCGAGCAGAGCCCCGGGGAGCCAGCGCTTGGGGCTTGGATGGCTCTTCCCTAAAACCTGGGGGCTCTGGGGTGGGCAGGAGTAGCTGGGGGGGGGCACGAGGGCAGGAAAGCAGCTGTGCCAGGTAAGGCAGCACCTAAGGGCGATGGGGAAAGGCCCCTCTGCCCCGCTCCCTCTGGGGTGATGCTGAGCGAGCTGGTGCCAGACCAGCCCCTGGGAGGGTCCCCTCCAAAGCAGCGGGCTTGGGGTGGTTTGTAGGACTCAAACTGGTCCCAGTAAAGCCCAGCCAGCCCAGCACTGGACTGAGGTGCTCTGTGGTCTGCAAGTTAGCCGGTTCCTCACCTGCACAATGCAGGACCAAGGTGCTGCCGTGCAGTGCTGGGGGTGGGGGGGGGCATGCAGGACCACCACCCCCAGCACCCCTTGGGGAGCCAAGGGGGTGAGCGCGTCTCATCCAAATAGACCTGTGCAGGGCTCCTGGCCTTCATCCACCTGCCCATCGCAGGGACACAATTGTCCCAGAATGATAGTTTGAGAGCATCAAGGTTTCCAAGCCCCACATCCACCACCTGCCCAAGGCTCCTGCACCCGGGGGGCTTCGGGGAGCAGCCCGGGCGGTGGGATTGGGCTGAGGACAGGCTGGCCACGCCGGCCCCGTCCACTGGAGCTGTTAAAGCTCCTTGTCCTGCCTCTGGCGCCCGCCCCAGCCCGCGAAATGCCGGGGCGAGGGAGACGGTTGCTACGGCCGGGTGAATGTGAGGGGCTCACTGCGGGCTTTGTGCGGCATCGACACCCACCGGGCTTTGCTTTCGCAGCCCCGTTTCCAGGGAAACAAAAGCCCCAGTCTTCTTCCAAGAGCACAAAACCGGGTTTTTCCTTTCCTCTCCTCCCCCCCCCCCCCCCCCCCCCCACCCCCCCCGCCAGTGCTGGGCCCCACAGTTTGGGAGCAGCTGGGGAGAAGAGGGGTCTCATCCTGGTGTGGGGATCGAAGGGGGGGGAGCAGAGCCCAGGCTGCCCACCGTGCCCTCACCCCCTCGCATCCCCGTGGACGAGCGGGGTCCCTGTGGGGGTTCGGAGGTGGTGGGAAGAAGGGAGTGGGGGCAGCTCTCATGCGCTTGGTCCATGCCGCTCCGTCCTGAGCCCGGGCCAAGGGCGAACAAAGCCGGGCTTGTTACTGCAGCCCCACAGAGCTGGATGCGTGGGGAGGAGGAGAGCCGGGCGGGGGGCAGGGAAGGTGCAGGCAGCACCACTGCAGGCAGCACCGTCATCATGGGCTGCAGGCAACGCATGGCCCCATAGCAGGCAGAGCACCCCATGGGCTGGGCTGAACCCCAGCCCTGGTCCCAGCCCCAGTGCCCAGGCAGGCTGCCGTAAGGCATGAAGCACAACCCTGGGGGGTCAATGCAGGGGGCCAGCCCCCAGAGGACAGGAGGCAGCAGTGCCCCCGCCAGCAATGGCCACAGCCCCCAGGAGGGGGCTGGTGCGGGCAAGGGGGCAGGGAGAGGGAGCAGGAGCCCTGCAGCAACCCTCCTCCGAACCCAGCATCGAAGCAGGGCCCTGCGGCAGTCCTGGGACACAACGTGGGGGCAGAGGAAGGTCCAGCAGCAGTGATGGCAACAGCCAGAGGTCTCCAAGCTCATTTTCACACCCAGGCCAAGAAAATGAGGCATCCAGAGCCATCAGAGTTAGCTCTAGCACCTCTTGGGTGAGCATGACCACGCCGGTGTCCAGTGCTGCCTAAGGAACAGGGACCCCCGCCCTATGATCCAAGGTGCGGGCACAGCACCGAGGAGGGAGGGGTGGCAGCAACGGCGAGGAAGCAACATGACTGCAACCACACCCCCAACGCAAAATTGTTAATTTATTATTATTAGGAGGCAGAAAAATTGTACAGTTACAAGAATCATTTCCCAACAGAGGTCAAATCTGAGCCAAAATATCTCTTAAAAAAAACAAAAGGGGGTGGGGGGTGACAACACTTTACAATTCATTAAATTAAAAAAAAAAAAAGGAAACCTCTTTGTGTAATTCTGCAAAAACGAGAACAGAAGAGAAACCCCCAGCCTCACCACCCCAGAGCCAAGCAGGGGAAGGGGCAGCGAGAGGGGCCCTGCAGCCCCCCACCCCTGGGCCACCACCACCCTC